ATTTTCAACACAAATAATAGTCTCGCTACCTTAATAGTTTATATAGAGCATAGGCAGCTTTAATTGTTTTTTTCTAGATAACAATATGTAATAGTAATATTTTAATAGAACCTGTTTTCAATGTTTTTCTTCTAAAAATAACAATTTTAGTTTTGTCTTGTGTACCGGTACTTGTAGTTTCAATTTTTTACAGTAATTTTAAAGGTTGTTTAATTCATTCTTCATACCTGTGTTTGTTGTGGAAATTAAAACATCATCTGTATAGAGGAGTAAAGTTATTTCATTGCCATTTAAATGAACTAGATCACCTGCAGAGTTATCTAATGAATTATGTAGGTAACTTTTATCTGGATTAGAATAGAACTAATGGTACAATTCTTACTTTGTTATCTCAATGATTGTGCTTATTAATTCTATATATTTTCAGTAATTTGTAGAAGAGGCAATTTTTCAAAACTATCAAACACTTTTTGAAAGTCAATAAAGCAGGTACACAGTTTACCGTTCAACGTCTGTCATGTACTTGGTGATAAAATTGTCTGTAGTACAATGATCTTAATGACCTGCCTGGCTATTATGTGAAGTATACCTGGTACTATCAATTGTACTACAAATTGTGTTTCAAACACAACTATAAACTGCAATTTCTCTATAATTTCCTGGCTGGGATCTGTTGCTATTTTAAGAAATTTTCATAGTAGTTTCTCCCAAGATTCTGATGAAGTTGGGTTGAGTATTATTAGAAGATTTTCAGAATTGCTTTTATCCATTCTTTTTAAAGCTGAAAGTTTATTTGCAATCCTGTTTTCTGCTTTTATTCTTTATAACATTAATATTTTACTTCCACTACTTCAGTCGTACTTACCTTGCACCAATTCCATAGAGCCCAAGAGGTCTCATTTGACATCTTTCTATTGTTCAAAGCTCCCCCAGCAGCTTACGGATATTGCATGCATGTGCCCTTTTCAACTTTTACCAAGCACCAATGGTTTCCATCTGTCATCAAATATGGCTACAAAATAATCCATTTTGCCAGTCAACACCTAATGACGACGACACTGGTGTCAATAAGCAGAGTTGATGAGAGCAGATGTGAAAGGCTTTTTGGCAAAGGATGCTATCACATCCCTGCTATCTATATTCCGCATTTGCTCGTTCAGGTTAAATGTCGTCCCCCCCCATCTTTTTATGAAATTACTGGCAATTCAGGTGTTAGTAGCCAGAGCCCAGCATCACATGTCACTTCTGGGAACACAATCGACATGAATCGTGTAAAGTCTAAACACCACTTTTTGCAATGTCAGTGCAACAACCCAAAGTTGCTGGTTTTTTTCAGCACCATACAATTTTTTACCTCCGAATTGGGAGCTTTGGATGATAAAAATCAAATGGGTGTAAGGTATGACTTCACTACGTAGAATTCTCATTCAATTTTTTGGTAATTAATTTGGTGATTTGCGTTGCAAAGACATGGAGTGAATAAATTACCTTACTGCAGAACAACGTAGCTTGTGGATTATTGTACATTTAAAATTAAACAATTTCAATCTTTTTTTTTTCAGAATGACTTCAATTCTACAACTAGTTTACTAATTTTCCTTTTTTAGAATAAAGTAAATGTTTCGAAACATTTTTGTTAATGATGGTCCACTTCAAATCATAGTTACCGGTATTCACATAAATTAATTAAACCAAGGCGGCACTAGAGGGTGTCACTTGAATTGAAGCTGTATTGAACATTGATTTTGTAAGAAGTTGAAAATATCATTTTTTTACTAAACATGACAAAAATATTCGCTGAAAATACAGAACTGAAGATATTGTCAAGAAATGAATTCTGACTGATGTCCACCCAAGTTACCTATATACTAAGTAAATGTATCAAGGCAATTTTGCTGGTAACTTTCAACAAGAATATGATAATGTAGTTATGGACAAACGATGACAATCATGTACAAGAACATGGTATGACAGCAGAGCTAGTTATTTTTTAAAGTACTGATTTTGCAGTAGGATTAGTAGTGAAATGCCTAGAGTATAATGGGTGTCCTACTTCCTGTACCCCATTCAACTAATATCTCATTTTAGTAAAATCAAACATCATACAGTGAATGTTTTAATAGTAGACTGCCCTCTGGTGTTGATTTGAGGACTACTGTATGCATTGAGAGTTGTATCAACATTTTTGTGTTTCCAAACCATTCTGACAAAATCAAAGACAAGTTTTGTTTGCCTTACCCACCATTTTATCAATGCAATGAGCCAGTATATTGATATTTACCTTTGCTATGTCACATATAGTTAAACAATTCTTTAACAAATTCTAGCATTAATTTGGTTGGTATAACTTCCTGTAGTAGAGGTATGCACACAAGTGATGTATGTAAAAGCATTAATTATTCACAGTTTTAATTTCATTATTTTTGCGGATAAATTAAATCCGCTAAATTCTTTTATTATATTCATGAATTCGAACACAAAATACACAAATTCCCCTCAGAAGTAATTTGAATTTTTCAGAGTGTAGCCTTACTTACCAAACTCTCATGTTTAGCATTTCTAGATAGACTAGTGGAGTACAAAGTATGCCATAGTCAAGTCATTGACCATGACAAAATTTCCCAATGTTGGAAAGGAACACAGCTAAAGAATTAAGAGTTGCTGGCAGAAAAACTTTTTTGTTCATTTCGCCTCCTTTCCATTCACGTTCTTTGTCTTTAAGTAAATAATGATTAATAATGAGTTCCTGGGTTGTTCACGACGATCATACGAGTACTAGACATAATATCAAAACCATTAGGTTTTTTTTAAGTTACTTGTAGTATAAAACAATGAAATCTATGTTTCTGGAAGGAATGTCGACACAATCTAACGAGAGTGCTCATATACGAAAATATATTACAGCGAAAATAAAAGTAATTACTGGGACACAACAATGAAAAATATAACTAAGCAAACTTTGTTCATCTCACGAAACAAAATTATACATCACTGACAACCTGTATGACATGATGAATATATAATTAGAACGAGGTGCCATAATTTTTAGGATTCCATGCAGCCAATTAGAAAAATGAATATGCAAATCTTTTGTTGCTTTCGTTCAGCAAATCAAGACAAATAATGTGAACAAAAGAAACCAAAAAAACAATACAAATAAATTGACCCATGACCTCTACATGTTTCTGATGATAATTCGGCTATTTGAGGTTCGTTTATCAGACTTTTCGCCATTTTTTTGAACTTTTCACTATACATTTATAAAAAGTCAACCACTTGAGTAAAATAAAATTTCCAACCAAATTTGGTAACTTTTCAATCTTTTTCCACAAATTTGTACGCAATTCCTCGCCAATAGACATTGAGCTCATATAACAATTTAATAATACCGGTACATATGGGATAATACTCGATTTTTGTTAATTTTTCTAACTTTTAATTGCAGGTTTTGATACAGCTACTTAGGACAAGTTTTCAAACATTTCTACCAACTTTCAAATCTCTATTCACAACATTGTACGATCTTGTCAAATTTCTTTTTTTTTTGCAATTTTGTATACCTGTGAAAGCCTACTCATTATTGCAAAATCCTAGAACTTATTTATTTCCTAATAAATTGTTCTTCCGGGCATTATAAGTTATAAGTTTTGAGTCACCAACTTACCGGTAATTTTCGAGAAAATTGTGGTTCTATAATAGTGGATAGTGGCCATTTTGGCAGTATTATTTTTTCGCAATATCTCAAATTCAAGTTGTGGGCTGGTGACATAGACTGAAAAAAATTCCATTGTGTGTGACGGACAAAATACTTCTCTAGGTGATTTGCTTAGGTTGCCCAATTGCCCAATAAAGCCCACCATTTCATACTTGCCAACCACATGACCAATCTGCTGTAATATATTGGAGGTCATTTAATGTTTGGAAATTTTCAAAATTTATATTGATTGTATTTGTATGTTTCAAATTTGACCAATGAAGCTTTGGAAAATAATTTGACTAGATGAGGATAGTTTACTGGGCTTTTCTTTGTTTTTTTTTCCAGCCATCTTTTGTAACATTAAAATCTAATTTTTCAACTTTCTAGCTAACTCTTGCAACCCAGTTTTTCAATTTCCAAGCCATTTTACCATGGTTAATAAATTCAAATTCTAAGCCACATTCTGAATACTGCCTTTTTGCTGTTTTCAACTAAGTATTCTATTATAACAAAAAATAAAATGTTGTTAGTCCATTAAAAAGCCATCTGTGCAGTTTGTAGTTGCATGCTTGTGGTTGCTCACAAAAAAGTTGTCCCCAAATTCCAAGTAAGGCCTGATTTGGTCACGAGTTAAAAAGTTTTAGTTGGTTACTTGCAGTGGGGTCAGTTTTAGCTAGTTACATGTGGTGTGGTCAGTTTCAGCTGGTTGCTAGAAGTGAAGTCACATGTTTCACCAAGACTGCTTACCTTATGTTGACCATTAGTTGCAAACGTAAAGGTAAATTAATGTTGTGTGCAACATTACCTATTCATATTGTATGGGTCATCACACTTGTTTTGTGTCATTTGCTCAGAAGATAAAATAAATGTAAAGATGTTTTTCGCTGCATCAGTTATGGAATATTTATGTATGTGTTGCTTTTAACAAAACAACTCGTGGGCATTGTTGTCGCAGCAGATCACAGCCAGTGTTGACATTCTCCATTCATATATGGGCCATTTCTGTAGTGTTTGTTTTGATCAAATGCCAGTGTTGACATTCTCCATTCATATATGGCCATCACACACACTGACTGGTCGGCAAGACTAGGCTGTTTGCTTTAAAGATAAAATAAAGGTGTTGTTTCCTGCTTCAGTTATTGAACATTTGTGCACGTTTTCCAACTCATGGGCATTGTTGTCGCAGATAACATGCAAGTGTTGATCAGTGAGTGACATCTATACTGATTATCAACAATTTAAACATGCCACAGGCTACATGTATACTGTATCAAATTTACTCTGTTAAAATGCTTAAGTAAACAATGATCAAACTAACTCATATTTTAATGATCCAGTATACATTAAATACAAGTGTTGGTATGCTAATAGAGATGCACTACTAATAGAACAAATACAGTATCTAGCATAACATTATGTAAATTAGAGATCTGACAACCTCACCTCTCATGTAACATTTACATTTTAGTTAAATATTTTGGCCCACTCAACCAGTTAAAGTTTATTAAAGATCTTGACCAAACTTTGACCATTTTCAGGGAAATATTGTGGTTCATTGAACAAATCTGGTACAAGTTTGATTACATCATAATATTTCATATTCCCTATTAAGGCACAATTTAAATATTGCAGCAATCAACAGTATTTAGCTGCTGCATTGGAGTACAGACCAAATATTCCTACCATGCAACACTTCAATATACTAGAAGCATGCAGTCACAAAAAAAGTAAATATACTTAATTACATTCACAGATTAGAAGCAAAATTTGATGAAATCAATATACATAGTTCTCATAACCTAATTTCATTTGAAATAGAATGAAAAGTATAGAGATACGAGTGAAACAGATAAAGTAAACTTAAAGAATCTATTTGTATTTTGCACATGGGAGTCAAACAATGATAAAACTCATTAAAACTAAAAACTTTAAATAAAAAAAAAAAAACAATCCATAAAACTTTATTAAGCACAAGCACAGATGATAATCTTCTCTGGGGTCAATAAACTAATAACATTTTCCAGTCCTCTTCACGTTTGCATATGGCTAATTTTTATTCGTGGAGTGATGATCTGAATTAAAGTATTTACTCTATTAGAAACACATCACCAATAAAAGCACATTTAGACTAGCAGTAGGTTGTATCGTATACTGGATCATTAAAAACTTTACTTTATTAGATCATAGACATACCTGTCAGTAACTGTGCTACTAATAGAGCAAATACGATAATGCTAATGCTGCATGTTATCTTATTTATTGTTTATTCACAATCGCTAATGGCAACAACAACTTAAAACACAGAAAACACAACTAATAATGTAATGACAAACAATGGTTTTTCATACTAGGTGACTTATTTGGTCTATCATATGCAGACATTAAGATAAGTATATTTTCTATCAACTTTAAACTTTCTTCACACATTCTAAGTATTCATTGACGTCTTCAGGTGAGCCCAGTGCGATAGGACAACGTTGATGTATATTTTCAGGCACAACATCCAATACAGGTTTTGTTCCAGTAGTTGCGATACCACCTGCTTGTTCTACAATGTATGCCATTGGGTTGCACTCATATAGCAAACGAAGCTATAAGAAAAAAAGTATTTTCATTAAGACATTACATTTCTGTAGTGTTTGGAAATTTGTAAATTTGTAAAGTTGTTAAGAAATATTACATATATCTCACTATGAGTACATTCAGCAGTTACTGCATACAACTCTGATAATCAAAATATTGTGATTTAATACACCATAATGGTTTTACTGTTTATGTATATATTTAGTACACAATTATATAAGTTGTATATTAATATAGTATGCAGTAGAAACCTGTACCTTTAAGTGTATTTATAAATATTTGTAAATACAGACCCCTCATTTTTTAATTAAAATTTGCAATAGTGATTGACTCAAGAGATCAACAATGTCTTTGCCCATATGTGGAAACAGACTTATTCAAAATGTTGTGTCTAATTTGATAATGTTGAACCAACTCATCAACTTTTTATCACCAGACTTTCTCGCCCAAATTATTCTGCACTTTTTTTCTTATATTCTTCAATATTTGTGGAAATGAACCCTAATTTTGGAGTCAACAGACAATATTTGTGGTAGAGAACCCTAATTTTGGAGTCAACAGACAATATTTGTCCATTTTCAGTTTTTACTTAAAATAATTGGCTATTATTATCAAGTATGTGCCGCCCTGGACGTCTTTTAGACTAAGACCTCTTTGTTTACACCAATACGTCTAGCATTCTAGTCCCCTTTTACTGATGATACAACATCATACATTTGTTCTGATCATAAAATGTAGATATCTTTCAAAGTAATATTTATTCTGTCCTTCCCAGGAGAAAAATATTCGAAGCTGATGTCAGAATTCCATCTGCAACCCATGGGTACAATAGGGCACTTTTGTAAATGGTGTCCCCAAATCTATGTGAATACTTGTGAGAGTTTAGTTAGTGAGAATAGAAAGCGTTTAGTATTAATTGACATGGCTGTGCTATTACAGAACAAGACATGCACATTAGCCCGGGCATGTGTAGTACCGAGAGTTGCTATATAAGCAAACTAGATTTGGTCTGTGACCCCATCTTGCAATTAGCAGATAAACATCATGTTGCACACACCTACAATTGACTTTAGACATGGCATGGTGTGGCCTCCTTGTGCTGACCCCGATAATTAGTAGACACTATCACCTGGTAAAATGTGTACAGTGCTTGGATCTCGCTACACCTCTCAAAGAAGCCAATTATAGCAAAGACTAGATGCTGTGGTTTGTAAGGTATATCAGGCAAATAACAAGCTCAGAGATAGTGTGTTGAGTTTGGAAGTTATAGCAACACAGTTTTCCGAAAATAGTTGAAGAGCAGTAACTGACTGCACCGCCATATTTAAATGTTGTATCATCAGTAAAAGGGGACTAGAATGCTAGACGTATTGGTGTAAACAAAGAGGTCTTATTCTAAAAGATTTGTATGTGGGAGTTTCATAACTAAAATATTTAACTATTCATATCTGCATTAAACATGTGTGACCTATATATAACACAAGAGAGTTCTTACTTTGCCATTTGGAGATTTCTTGTTTGCTGGATATATAAATATCCCACCATACATAATAGTTCTGTGTACATCAGCCACCATGGAACCAATGTAGCGAGCATTGTAAGCATTACAACCCTCCTGCAGAAATAATCAAAAAAAAATTGTACATTAAATACTTTCACATACTCTACATCAAAATTTGATGATTGTTGCTAAAAATGACAAAATTTTACACAATTGCATAAAGAAAGCAGGATAAAAAGGCTACAGTAGGGAATGAGTAAAAGTATAAGCCCCTTATTTTTACTTTTCCGAAACTATCGTGAATGGAGTGTGAACGAGTAAACTATTCTTCGATTTGACCTGTGAAAGGTGTATAAATACTCAGTTTACCTCTCAAAAATTGCGAATTACCAGTTTTTCTTCATTGTAAAAGTGTTTATTTTAGGACGACTGTTTTTTTTTTTTTTCTTCAAAAAGACACAATAACCCCGGCATGGTAAACGAAAGATGAAATTTGGATAATTGTTCATGGGTGGTACATGTAAGATGGTTATAATTGTAAACCAACAAAAAAATCATTTTTTCGGAGGCGGTACTCGAGTATAAGCCCACCTCTTAATTGTTTCTGATTTTACATATTCAGGCCCCTGGGTTAAGCTGGTCGGGGAAGTACGGTAGATATAATGGGAAAGTATCTAGTTTGAGTGTTTGTGTCTCCAGAGAACTGCATATCGGCATATGTACAAGTTGTTTATTTTATGAATCAATGATATATATAGTGGTACAAACCTTTGGATACTTTTTATTGTTGACATAGTCCATTACACCTTTCTCCCAGTACTGTGAGTAACCTTCATTAATACTGTAATATTTACCACGGGGTTTGATTCTGACATTGCGTTCAGTCAAGACAAACTCTCCAATAGACTGAAAAGACAAAAAAATATGAAACTGGATCAAGCAATTATCCAATCAAAGATGTGAATTTACATACCAAGTCAATATTATCATGGAGGTATATAAACTGTTTATACCCCCATGTTGTTATCTACAAATGGTGATAATGAATTCAAAATTGAACTTTCAACAACACAGCGCTTCATGCTTACCATTTACCCAGATAGTTCACGAAGGAAATAATTTAATTTATGCAATGACTGATGCCATAATATGAAATTTATATTGGCTATCCATAGAGGCTTTAAGCAGGTGATGTGCAGCATTATTTTTGTTGCCACATACACGTAGTAACCTTTATTTTGTGAGTGAAAAATTGAAGTTCATCATTTGGAGAAATCCTCACTGTGATTGTTGATGTGGATGGTGAACATAATTTAATAAACAAGTCACAAATGTCAAGTTGCAAATCCTTTTTTCAAATTTTTTTGCTATAAGTGATTTCAGTTCGCAAATTAAAGGCTATAATTTGAAATATTTTTTACAATGTCATGAATTAACAAGAATACATTTAACTTTTGAAAATGAGGTGGGTGCATGAATTATTAATAGAATCAAATGAATCAATACAGTATTAAACGTCCCTCATGGAATATCACATTTTACAACTGTGGATCGATAGCTTTTCTTGTGTCAGTCTTTTCTGATATATTTTGTGTTATTAAAATTGTTATTTTTCAGATATTAGGATTGATGGGAGCTATTGACGCACACATTTTAGTGTTTGCATCTACCATCCCTCATTTTTTCACAATGATTCAGTTTAAAAGTTTTACTGTACCCAACATGACTAGGATACAGTTTAACATTTTGTTCATCATTGAATGAACATAATTTGTAAAAACTTAATATTTATATTACTTACAGGGTCTAGCATGAATCCATTAACTCCCTGACCAATAGACAACATTACCATGGTAGCACTACCATATAAGGCATAGCCAGCAGCAACAATATTTCGTCCAGGCTGCAATGCATCTTGTACACCAATTTCACCTTCTGATATCTGCAAAATATGAAGCATTTATAAATTAAATAATGTAAATTCATTATTTATTCACAAGGTTTTAATTTCGTTATTTTCGTTCATAAGTAAAATCGGCTGAATTAAATATATGTGAACATGTAAAATAACAATGTAATATAATATCTTATTCAAAGAACAAATGCACACATTCACAGTAACAAAGAACTTGCACTTCATTTCCTAACTTTGTCAGTTGTTTTGCTTCATGGAGTATTTTGATTCTAAATGAGAGCTTGTCAAATTTCAATCTAGTTTGGTCTTTTTTTTTTTTTTTCAACGTTCAATATTTCTGAAGTTATTGGCTGTCTTTGTCAAAAGAAGGGATCAATTTCCATTTAATAATGCCAGTTAATTTAATTTAAAATTGCATGTTCTGCTTGTACATGACCCCTGATATTGTTAAAACATTCCATGCATGGCACAGTTCCTGTTAGTTATCAAATTTAAATATATGGTTTTGTTTATAGTAATATAGTTGGAAA